ATGCCCATAAAGAATTTTGTAAAGAACAACTCCCAAACTCCAGCAGTCAACCTGAAAAAAAAGCGTCACTACTTGTTACTAACACTTTTCCTATACACAACAGACTGGTTTAAAAACTTGCGGAAAATTCGGGATGTGTTAGTTGTTACTGATAAATGTAAATTTCCGAGTACCTCTGGACCTCTGTATGCATATCCGAAGAACATTTCTGGAGCAGCATAGTTCGGGGAGCCACAGAAAGTTATCAATGGGTTGGTACCAAAAAAATAGTTGGATAGTCCGAAATCCGCAATTTTTACATTTTTTTTCGAATCCAATAGCATGTTTTCCAACTTTAAGTCTCTGTGCACCACACTGCGCTGCAATTCAATGAATCAAAAAGTCTACATCCTCTGACGGACAAAACCAGTTATGAATGAAAACACAGAGAAAACCCAAGCTGGAATGCACAAGGCTAGCCGGTGCGAGCATGCGATTTGCTCAGCTCTTTACGCAGGTTTCACTTAGAAGCGAGTGCATTTTGCAGCGAACGACCGCCCTCATCCTCTCCCAACATTCAGTTCTTGTTTTCTCACTGAAAAGTGGAAATGTTGCTAGAGTGGTCATTCGTCAAACCCAGGCTGGAACGCACCAGACGAGCCGTGCCATCATGCGTTTTTGCACTAAACTTGAAGTAATTAGGTTAACTGCATGAACGGTTGTTCCTTTACACCTACCTTGTACTCTCAATACCGTAATTCACTGTAAATTTTGCATAAAAGGAAATAAACAATTTTTGTTTAGCGGTCGTTTTTATTTGAAAATAGCTAAGCTGCTCGAAGAGTAGTTTTCCCGCCAAAAATTTAAAATCCGTGCATGAAAACCACGCGTACGTGGGGGGTTGAATTTAAAACCTTTAAGCTATGTTTGGACGAGGAATGTTCTCCTAAAATCTCAGCTTTCCAGCTTTTCTGGTTTCCGAGTTAGTCATTTTCCCGCCAATTTCACGGGGCCGTACGTGAGAACCGCACGTGCCTGGGAGCTGAATTTGATAACTTTAAGTCATGCATGGGCTGGGAACATCCCCTGAAAATTTCAGCCTCCCAGCTTTCCTAGTTCTCGAATTAGTCATTTTTCCGCCAAACAAATTCACGGGGTTGTATGCGGGAACCACGCACACATGGGGGGCTGAATTTGAAACTTTTGAGCTCCACATGGGCGGGAAACATAACATTAAAATCTCAGCTCTCTATCTTTTCTCATTCCCGAGTTGTCAATTTTCCCGTCAAAACTTTCACTCCCTCGTACGCGGGCCCAAACTTGTGAGGGTTGGTACCGCGGTTCTGGGGTGACACTTGGCTGGGGAACCTACTAGCAAAACCTTGGCCAGTTGCCGAGTTGAAATACCCGGACAGACGAACACGCACACACAAACATACACACACACACACACACACACACATAAAGACAGGTTCGTCGCAATATGCGTTTTTGCGATTTGCATATAGGCAAAAACGCATAAAAATCCAAATATATAAATGAACTGAATATTGGGAGAGGATGAGGGAGGTCGTTCGATACAAAATGCACTCGTTTCAGAGTTTGCGGTAAATTTGAGTATTCCTCACACTCACCTGCAGGGAATTTTACTTCCAAACAGAATTAAGGCCGCACTTGAAAGTAGAATATCCCATCGAAGTTCTAGCCTCATATTAACCGGTAAGCGAAACAGCCACTTCGCTGCAAATATCTTTGAAGTGCCCTAGGTCGTGGCGCAACCGCAAATCGTTACTCATTTTAGGCATGAGATTTCCTATGTGGGCGTTAAACGTACTGAAAAAATTTCAGCCGCCGTTTTCCAGCTAGTCCGTTTTTTGCAGCAATGCAATGCGAAAAACGCATATTGACGAGAGGTTGTCTGTGTGTCCGTGTGTGTCTGTGTGTCTCAATGCGAAAAACGCATATTGACGAGAGGTTGTCTGTGTGTCCGTGTGTCTGTGTGTCTGTGTGTCTGTGTGTGCGTCTATCACGCACTTTCATCTCAGGACCTATAAAAGCTGCGGGGCTGAAATTTCGGGAACATGATCTACATGCACGTGCCGGCCCCAATCCCCAAAATGGGCGCCAAAACCCGCGTGGTACCCGCGTACAGGCCCGCCAAATTTTTTTGGGGGCAGTTCATAACTCGAGGATCTGAGAAGCTAGAAGGCTGAAATCTCGCGTAATGTTCCCCGCCCAAGCGGCTATTAATGGACTCAAAACCAGCCCCCGGGTAAGCGTGGTACA